CAAAATTCTACATTAAGCGAACTCACTCTTTTATGCTTCTCCCAGTTTCTCTGACTCTCTGTATCTCCCATACCCTAGTCCATTTGCTAGAGGCTTGTGTTTCTAGAGTAGACATCTGATAAGCTAGTCCACATCCCCTTGTTGATGGCTTTAAGATGCTGATACTCCAGGGAGCATTCTAAGGGGACTCCATGCCTAGCATAATGCCGTATCCAAAAGAACCCATTTCCAATGGCAGATTTTCTGGCCCTGGGGACAGCTATATAAAGGAGAAATTGTTTTGAGCAGGGTTGTCTTTCTGAGGTCACTCAACTTCTGCCGATTTCATTTACAAACAACTCTGGGCATGGGTATGGGGACAACATCCTTTGGGGGTTTTAATTCACATTTCTTGTGACTCAAATTAAAGATGGAATTATCCATGGAAACAGTACCTCAAGGGCATCTTTGTTCAAGACCCAAACGTAATGCAAGGATCTTCCCACTTCTCACTGGTGGTTATTTGTGGTGTAAACGTTGGGGACTTTGTGCTGTGCTGACATGACTGTTTTCCTGACGTACCTTGCAGGGTAAGGGCTAATCCAATGAGTGAATTTGGTCTTCCCTGAGGGGTGGGCAGCCCAGAAGTCACCCGTGGGAAGAGGCAAGCCCTCGGGCAGGTCCTGAGTCTGGCTGGATGGAAGTCCAGAATTTCTACCTCTTTCCGAGTCTCACTTTTGTGAGTTTGGACTTCAAGGAATTTGAGAGAACGTCAGGGGCTGTTTGCTTCTCCTCCATTGAGCTGCTTTTCCTCCCAGCCAAGATTCTTTAATGACACTTGGACTTCTCTCTCCATTTCCTGAGGAGCTTTATCCCTTAATCTTGGGGATGTTCAATCAGAAATTGTAACCCAGCCAGGAAAAGATGGTTGAGAGGGGGCTTGAAGAAGCAACCTGGAGGTTCTGTGGTGGGACAGCTGCCCAAGTAAGTTCAGTCCAGGGACTGTAATAAGAACTTGTTTCATCTGGTGCTGTTTCAGGAGATACTTAGCCCCTCTTGCTTCTTCCATCAGCATAAATGACTTTCCCTGAACACCCAATGGTCCCACAGTTGAAGTGTCCCCAGTCTGGCTTTCAGGTTATAGCACAGGCACCGTTAACTGGACATGAGCTTTCTCAAGATGGTGGCTTATTGTATATACATTTCTAACCCTGGGAGCCACCTGTTCAGCAACCCAGATTCCGAAGTCTTCTTACTCCCCTGGGAGAACCTTCTCAGGCATGGGCCCAAATCTTTCAGGCCTGGAACTGAGCATTTTCTAGTTCAATCCCTGTTCCTGGACTGTTTTGAGGAGAAACCCTTATAGCTTATAGTGCATCCTTTTGTTTGCTTATGATCTTCCTCCTGAGAATTCCCCCTCTCCTGAAAAAAATCTATTTGGGTTCTCCTCCTCTCCCATAAAGCCACCCACATCTTTCCCTCCCCAGAACTCAGAGCTCATTTTTCCCAACCATCTTTTGGCAATGAATCACACATATGTCTTATGACTTACTCCGATAATTGTTTTATGGTAAGCATAATACCCACTTCACCTATTCAGCCTTCTTGACTTTGATATATGGCAGGCATCTCTGTCTGCACACGAACACTCTGGAATATTAAATGTATTTGGCAAAGTGGCTTTGATTTGGGCAGATGTTTTTATGTATCTATCACTAATGTCAATCCGCTTTCCATGAGGGAAATTTGGCTGACCTTCAAAGGACAAAGATTATTGACCTCCCGTGGAAGCCAATAGAAGTGAATTCACTATCAGATATTTTTTTTTTTTTAAGTAAAAATGAAAGACAATTAAAGGCAGCATGGTACAATAGTCCCTTCTTATCTACAGGAGATATGTTTCGGTCCCCCCAGTGGATGCCTAAAACCACAGATAGTACCAAACACTATATATACTGTTTTCCCATACGTCCTTAAAGTTTTGTTTCTAAATTAGACACAGCAAGATTAACAATAATAAAATAGAACCATTATAATAATATACTGTAATAAATTATGTAAATGGCTTCTCAAAATAGCTTATTGTACTGTACTCCCCCTTCCTGTGAGAGTTGATGAAATGCCTGCATAGTAAGATGAAGTAAAGTGAGTAGACATTGTGACACAGCATTAGGCTACTATTGACCTTCTGGTGATTGGTCATTAGGAGGATAATCTGCTTCCAGACCCAATGGCCATGGGTAACTAAAACTGTGGAAAGCAAAACCACAGATAAGGAGGACTACTGTAGTAAAATAGACTTCGTTGTGCTATACATCTCTTCACAGAACAAGCAAGGTTCTTCCACATGACTTTCTTTGCAGCATTTTACCACAGAATGATGACTCCCTGGCAACTCAAGTAAGAAACGGTTAAGCCTACTTCTGAATAATCACCTGCTCTAAGAATAAGGTTAAGAATTAAACATTCTCAGATGGAAGACTGGCTGGATGAAATGGTGTGTTATCCCAATGAAGCATGCAACTTTCCAGATGTCATCAGATGAAACCAACATGTCGATCAATCAAGCAAGAAGGGAGATCATCTTCTTCTTTAGAAAATAATTGTATTGTAGGGGCGCCTGGGTGGCTCAGTTGGTTGAGCGTCCAACTTCAGCTCAGGTCATGATCTCACAGTCTGTGAGTTGGAGCCCCGCGTGAGGCTCTGTGCTGACAGCTCGGAGCCTGGAGCCTGCTTCCGATTCTGTGTCTCCCTCTCTTTCTGCCCCTCCTCTGCTCATGCTCTGTCTCTGTCTCAAAAATAAATAAAAACATTAAAAATTTTTTTGAAAAAAAAAAAAGAAAATAATTGTATTGCTTAACCACACATAAGTTAATGTGTGAACATAGTTTTGAGTATTGTGACATTCCCAAGTGTACCATACAGCTAAGTAAACGAGAAGGTTACCCATCTGACTCAATCCTAGTTTATCATTTAGCATCTGGAAATTTCTTTTATCTTGCTGGATCTAGCCCAAAAGTATGGGTGGAGACACAGGGTTGCAGCCAATAACCTAGTTATGTATATGGCTTATTGACTTGTCCAAAAAAACTTTAGTCAGTCATTCATATTAGTCTGGTAAGCGAATTCTAAAGTCTGAAGATTTTATTTATTAGAATTGCTAAATCAGGGACTAGGTTGGTAACGATTTCCAAAGGAGAAATTCTTATTGGAGAGAAACCATCATGTTGACTTGTTTTAGGTTTCACAGTAAAATGATTCAGTCTCACCAGGCTTCACACTAGGAGGGGAATAGCCCTCATGTAATGTATACTTTTCCTTTTGTCTGTTTATATTTGCAAAGAGCTAAGTACCCTGATGTTTCCATTTTTTTTTAAGCAAATAATTTGAGGCAGAAGTAATATATCCATGTCCTTTGTTAGGTCTCATCGCCCAGGGAAAAGATTACCTATGAGAACCTTGCCTACACACGAAGGGTCTCAACTTAGACAAGCTACATGGTCTCTTTCCTGGTTGTTGGGTCACAGGTTGCTCGCCATTCTGAGTCTGCAAATAAAGTGCATCTTGATAAATAAGGTTAAAAGCGGGAGAATGTTCATAGACCGAGAACATCAATTCGGCTCTCAGCAAGTGGAAAGTGCCTTTTTGCAGAAAAGCCACCAGCAGCTCTGTACCTGCTCCCTGGAGAAGGAACCAGGTATCAGAAGGGCTGCCAAGGGAGAAATGCCTTAACCAAACCATAAGGCAGATGTAGCTGTTTCTTCTCCCATAGAGGCATATTTGTACCCTCTCAATTATACCTAATCTACTGGGAGACTGTATGGGAAAAGACCCAGAGAAAGTATAATAGTTAAATGCCTGCAAGGACACATCATTGCTTAGATTCTCGCAAACAATACTGTAGCAGAGGGAATGCACAAACATTATCATTTTATCTAGTAGTTTAACCTTTTCCTTGAGGTCATGCTGCAGATGAAGAGTAACATGAGAATAAATGTGACCAATAATTAAGACAGGGAAAGCGTTAAAAGGGTCTGGTCGAACCGAAGAAGAACACCGGACAATCGTGGGATAGAAATACAGCTGGGAAATTAAGGCAGGGACTCGGTGCTCCAAGGAAACTGGTTTCCTCTTCTATGTGGTTAGTTGTCCCATGTTTCACCTGAAGTTCAGAGGTTATTTTAGATGATCGGATGATAGAATTGCAACAGCTCCAAACCAGGTGGGACAATCATTGAAATGTCTGAGAGAGGAAGTCATTTCAGGATACAGTTCAAGGAGAAATGAAAGTTATGATGTGCAAGTGTTTGACTTTGAAGGGGGAGGAGGGTGCTGACAGCAGGGCAGGAATCGCTGTGTACATTTCCTGTTCCCGTTCCTTAACTGACATCCTCAGGCATCTCTCCTCCTTGGTGTGGGGGTGGGGGGAGAGAGAGGAGTGTTCTCTACTGCCCTCTTTTTAGCCTCCTTAATCTTGTTTATATGGCACCTGCAGCAAGGAAACATCTGTCCAACAAGGATGGGATTGGGGTTACAAGAGTTTGCCATAGTGTGTTAAAGTAAGAGATGCACAGAAATGAATTTTGAGAAGCTGGCATCGATTGACCTAAAAAGTTCTGAGGGGCCCCTGGGTGGCTCCGTGGGTTGAGCGTCTGACTTCAGCTCAGGTCATGATCTCGTGGTTTGTGAGTTCGAGCCCCCTGCGAGACCTGCTGCTGTCAGCCTGTCAGTGCAGAGCCTGCCTTGGATCCTCTGTCCCACTCTGCTCCTCCCCGACTTACACTGTCCCCAAAATATTTAAAAAAATTCTGATCTCGCTCATTTCTCCTAAAATTGAGGGGTGCTGTTTCTGGAATCTCAAAGCTTTGGGAAATAATCAAAATTGCAGAGTGGATGGAAATCACCTCATACCTTATTTTAAAGGCTCACATATACTTCAGAGAAGCAATTTTTCTGGTCCTGGACTTAAGGAAAATATTATTATTCTCTTATGTTTTTATTTATTACTATAAACAAGCAACTTCATTTTAACATTTACTCTTTATTATGTTGCATGAAGTACCTATGTAATGCAAGTATGTACTGTACTAAAATACCTATATTTCCAAATAACATTATATGGTGTAGCCCACAGTCTCTGCAGAAGCATCTTGAGTAACCTGTGCCTTTATACTTTACAATCCATTGTTGGTTGCTGTGAAAAGTATGATTAACAGATGAAGAAAAAGAGATAAAGCTAAATATGAATACACTTTTCCAAACATATACATACGCAGCTTACAATGGGACCCCAAATGGAAACAAGTCAAATGACAACATTTGATGTGATATCTATAAAATGTAGACTCTGCAATAAAAAGCCAAAGGCACATAAAAATATATTTTAACTTTAAAAATAACTTAGTTACAGTAATACTTTGCTTGTGTCTTACCAACATGTAGCGGACAGTCAAAATTTCGCGATATAGATATAATATATAGGGATATATAAGAGCTACAAGAAAATCCCCCAAACCCATAAAGTTGTTCAAATGTGAAAACAGAGAATAGTTTTAACACTGAAGAATTTGCTATGGCGAGCCCAAATGATGTAATATAGAAAAGAGTCTAGAAAAAAGGCTTAGGTGTTAAATAAACTTTGACTTCTTCTTGCCCAGGAAACGCTAGAGTACTGTGAAGTTCTTTAATGTGACTTGTGCAGCCCTTCGAGCTAGTGCCAATCTTGGCCGGGCCAGATTTCTTAACGTGTCTGGAAGCAAAAAAACGTGAGCTGAACGTCAGCAATACCCACCGAAAAAAAATGGGTTCTGACTGACTCACTTCCTTTTCGCCAGGACAGTTTTTGTTGTTATTGTTTTGTTTTTGCAAACAGGGCATAACAGGTACAAAAAATACTTTGTAGGAACATTATTTTAGAAAACCTATCACACAGTGGCAAACATAGCCAGTGAAGCTCTTCTCTCCGACTGTGGTTGGTTTAGTTCTTATTTTTTGATGATACGTTTTACCCCCGAGGACAAGAGCTGGTGGTGTCTGTTACTTATTTTTATCCATGACATTCAGCACCTCATCCAAAAACGAGGGCCCCAGATCGAGCTGCAGGGAGAGGAGGGACCCCGTGAGATCGGAGAGGGACTCCTCTGATTTAGTCTTGTCTTTGACGAGCTCGCACGGGGCAGGCTGGTCATACATGTCCTCGGCCGGCCAGTCGGGGTACTGTTCGGAGAGGCTGGAGGAGTGGCTGTCCCTGCCCTGGCTGGACTGCGACGCGGACCCACTGGAGCCCCACGACACGTCTCCCTGGTGGCCTGTCCCGTTCTCTAACAGACTGCTCTTCTCCGGGGCCTTCTCCTCCACGACGGGCTCACAGCTAAGCCGGGGCAGCTTGGCCGGCCCGAAGGACTCCTGCTTGGAGTTAAACGTCACCGGTGACAGTAAGGGCAGCATGAGCGCCTGGGAGCCTCCGATGGTCGGGAGGGAGATGGCGTTTTTGAGCACCGGGGAGGGCGTTTCTGTGAACATGGAGTCGGACGTGCTGTTGGCCCGGAAGAACTCGCCATGCCCGGGCAGCTGGCCCATGCGGGCCTTCTCCTGGTTTCCAGGCAAAAGCTCGTAGTTCCCCTGGAGGAAAGAAATATCTCCAAAGACGTCGTGCTGGCCCTCTTTGCCGATGTGAATGGTGTGGCGAAAGTCTCCCAGAGGAGGACTAATCATGTCGGGGGACAGGATGTCCCTCAGTTTAAATTTCTTTCCTTTCTTGTTATTGGCAGCTTTCAGGTAAATTGGGGTCTTGGCGGGCATTTTGGAGTTGGAGAAGGTCTACTTTGCAAAAGGGAAAAGGGCCACTTTCTTCGCTGATGTTAAGCTCCGAATATCCTTTCTGATAGGATCTGTCACATCATTTTTCTCAAGGAGCTTCTAGAAGTGGCTCTGAAATGAGACTGGGTTGAAAGGCCTTCCTGAAGTCACAGCCAAGTGGGGCGTCCTGGAGAGCCAGTTACATCATCCAACCCATCCCACAGCGGGGAGAAACCTGGAAAGGAAACCAAAGCAGGTTATAGTCAGCTGACCCTTTAGGGTTCACTGGGTCTGCCTCTTTCTCAAGAGCCTGTGAATAAAGGCAGGACCAGTTCCCATCTAAAGCCAAACTCTATTTTTTCCCTCCATCAAGTAGGATAAGAACTTTAATCTTAGGGTCTTTTACTAAGGGTCTACTAATCTTGGTCTTATTTCTGGGGGAAAAAAAAAGAGGAAAGAAAGAGATGAAAAAAAACTCACACCTATGACATCAGTACTTTCTAAACATGGTCATGGACACAATTTTCTGCACATGCCTAAGATTTTTAGATTTTTCTCTATTATAAGAATTGCTGTCAGCACATGACCAGAGTGATTTCAGCTCCTTAGATACAAAGTAGATTTGCTTTAAAATGTTTTCCCTTTTGTTTGATAATATTTTGTTGCTGAGTTCTGTATCTAAATAAAACTCATGCAATGCAGCAAATAGTCCTATAAGGAAAGGGGTTGGAAATACCATTTACTAAGTGACAGCGGCTATTATGTGCCAGTGGCCAACAAAATCTTAGCAAAATCCAGTCACACAAATGAGAAAATAGGGATTCAGGAGTCACAAAATAAATCACCCTTTGTCAAGAACATAGAGTCAGCTCATGACAGAGCCGAAGCTGGGACCGAGGTGTGGCACAGAAAACTGGGCTGTCGAGGCTTTCAGGTCTTGGAGACATTCTGAGATAGAAGGAAAAGAACAAAACTGATTCTTTTCAAACAAAAAGCAGTGTGATCATCTACAACTGGCTGGGTCTTAGAAATACTTTTGTAACACTTCCTGATAAAGTTTGTGTCCTCTCCCTGTGGTAGGTGGCACCCCAAGGTAACCCCCATGATGTGCCTCCTGGTACTAACACCTGTGTGGGCACAACCTGGGACTTGCTTCTAAACTACAGAATGTGGCAAAGGTGATGGGATGTCACCCCGTGGTTAGGTTACATGGTAAAAGAGTCCATCTTAGCAGACTGGAGAAAGGTGCCTTTCACTGGCTTTGAAAAGGTAAGCCGCTGTGCTGAGGGAGGGCCCATGGAGATGAATTCTGCCAACAACCGGAGGGAACCGGAAGTAGATCCCCCCCACCCCGGTTGAGCCTCTGATGAGAGCAAAGCCCCCTGGCATCTGTCTCCCAGCCTGATGAGACCCTGGAGCTAAGCCCTGCCTGGGCTCCCAACTGACAGAAACTGTGGGACAATAACTTAGGTGTGTTGTAAGCCACTAAGTTTCTGGTAGTGTGTTACCAGCATAGAAAATGCACACACCCTCCCTGCACATGAAACTTAACACAACGAGAAGTGCTAAGCCAGGAGGTGTGGGGCTCTGGGTTCTCATCTTACAGATGAGAAACTCTTCATCTCTTAAAAATAAATCCTCTGACTCTTCGGTCCCATCAGCTGACATGAAGAAGTTAAAAACCTTTCCCACTGCGGGAATTCCTGAAATGCTCTGCTGAGACCTCTCCCATCGGGGTCTCCTCCCCACTGGCAGAGGAGCAAATAAATAAATAAATATCCAAGAGCTGAGTTGGATGGTGGCTTGAAGAGAGCCAGCCACATTTGCTTTGTAGCAGCTGGAGGCTGTACGCATAAAAATTTTGAGTTCATTTCCCCGTGGCAGGTGGAAAGAACCGTGCTCTGGCACCCAGTGGCAAGGCACCAACAGGCTCCATTTGGGAAGTGGCTTGCACCCAGACTGGACAAGGCAGGGACCGATGATAAGCTGGAGAGGCCCACCCCGCCCTGGCTTCGTGCGTGGGAAGGTGGTCCACGCAGCACAAGAGGGTTTGCACCTCAAGTGAGCCGACCTTGAAGCTGCCACCTAGGACCTCACACTCAGCATCTCTCCCTTTCGTCCCAAGTAAGGACCTGGTTCAAACCTCCCCAAAGTGCTGCTGCTGTGGCCACACAGAGGCACCCCCTGGTTCTGCTTCCCACTTGAGGTTAGGATCGCATGGAAACACTGTTACTAATGGAGATGCGCCTAAGAAGCCAGGCTGGTGGGTCCGGATGTTCTCTCGGCTTTGACGCTAATTTGGGTCTGGGGGCAGTAGCAAATGTCACAACTCCAAAGCCTTGGATCCCAATGGCAGGACTCCCTCCCTCCGTAAGTGCACGACAGCCTGGGGCCCCTGCCACTCAGGGGTAGCTGGCGTTGCCTTCCTGCACCTCTGGGCACAGGGTGGCAGATGGTGGCCTGCAGGAGCCGCCAGGGCACCGGGCCCCCAGGAGGTGGGAGGCAGCCCCGAGGGACAGCTGCCCACCGGAGTGGTGTCCACGGCACACACGGCCAGGAGCACAGCTGCCAGGGAAAGATACAGCATGTCCACCGCCAACTCAGGGGCAAGTGAGGGCTGCCCGTGGTCAGCTGGTGGAGCCAGGCTTACGCGAGGCCAGAAACAGGGGCAGGGCACTTCAAATCAGGCAGAAAAGGAAAAGTGCCACGAGGATGCAGCCAGAGAACAGTTCCCTGCCCTGCTGACCGGATCACTCACAATCACCCTTCACTTGAACAGCGCCTGGCTGCGCTGGGGAGAGAAGGGAGAGGAAACATTTGCACCCGGAAGGCTCAGGGGAAGAACGCTCTGCCCTCAGTCCCTGCAGGCCACGGCCACAGGCACTGCAGGCCCTTCACCATAGGCCAGCTCAGACTGGTAGAAGCTGGGTTTTACATCAGAGTCACAGACACAAAGGTGGGAAGGAAGGGACAAAAAATAGAAAAAAAGGAAGAAAAGGCTTGGTGAGTGAAGGTTAGATAAGCTGCAGGCAGTGAGCCTGGAGCGGAAGAGAAGATACATTTTTCTTTCTATAAATATTTACATAGTGTTTATTGTGTGACAGGGATGTAGGCTTCTAGAGCTTTGCAAACAATTTGTATTGAATTTCTACTATGTACCAGTGCTCTGAGCTCCCATACATTGGAAGTTTTTTTGTTTTTTTTTTTTTAAGGAATTTTGGACAAAAATGTCTTTTTAACTTTAGGTGAGCTGCTATTTGCAATGTAATGTTGGAGAAACAGAGCTCTAATCCCATCCCTTTATCTTATCTTTCTTTTTCAGCTCAGGGGCAACCATGCTTGATCTAATAATGAGGATTTCTTACACTGGCTGCTTCCTCCCCTCCTTTTTGGATATCCTGGGCTCCCTGGCTTATCAGCCAACATACATCAATGTCCCTTTCCCTTCCTGGCCTGACTATTCTTTCCGCACCTTCTCTGTCATTGCTAATGCAGAAATCTAATGGGCACAGTTTCTTAGCTGTTAACAAAAGAGCTGGTCCCGGGGAGGGTATGTGCATGCTCCCGGGAACCATCAACACTAAATATTACTGAGAGCATCTCTATGTTCTGGGCACTGTGCCAACCTTGGATATGTACCAGCTCACCCACAAGAACCATCAGGCTGCTACTGTTAATATCCCCATTTTATAAATGATGCACTGAGGTCCAGACAATGAGTCTCGAGTCCCCTCTGCCAAGGCTACGTGGCTATGAAGGCACTAAGCCAAGTCGCCAGGCTGCAGAGTTTAAGGTCCTGTCTCTTAATAATCACACTCGCTGGAAATTCAGTCAGCTCCCAAATTATGAAGGAGGCGCATCCCAAAGCCTCTTTAAGATACAAATATGTGATAACACACTGGGCTGATAAGGGTGGGGTCAGGCCCTGCATATACCGATGGTGAAAGCACGAAACAGATCCCACCTCATTGGAAGCTGGTTGCCTTTGACACCAGAATTCCACTTACAGAGATTTACCCACCTTGCACACAGGGGAAATAATACATGTACAAGATTATCAAATCCAGGAGGATACAACAGTCTGGAGCTGGAAACAACCTAATTGTCCACCGATAAAGGACCGGTTAAATAAATTAAGGTATCATCAATTACAAATGAATATCATACAGGTCTTACGAAGGATTCAACTGTTCTTCGCTGATACAGAAAGAGCTCAAAGATATCTATCTTTACAGGGAAAAAAAGACAGGTGCAGAAGTATATCGATACACTTGCATTGGCTTGTGTGTCTGTAAAATATCTCTGGGAGCACACACAAGAAACTAATCATGGTGACTGCCCACAGGGAGGGATGGACAGGATAGGGCAAGGGTGGGAGAGAAACTTCTCACAGTATATCCTTGTACGATTTTGGGTTTTCGAACCACCTGAATGAATTAGCCATTAGCTATTTAAAAAAAAAAAAAAAGAAAAGAAAGGGCTGCTTAAGCTTCAGGCTGCACCTCGGAGCGAATTTTATACAAAGGTCCTGAAAAGTCTACTCAACCTGTTACTGGATCATAATGTAAACATGTCTGTGGTGGTTGTGTTCAAAAGCCAAAATGTAGGGTGGTGGCCTGTGGTATATGAAGACCTCAGAAGAGGGCTGACCTTGTCTCACCGGAGCATGGCCAAGGGACAGATCGCCTCTTCCTGCAGGGACTCACGGAAGAGGCAGCACGGGTGTTACTTTGCAGAATGGAAACGATCTCCTAAGAGAAGGGTTTTTAGTCACAAAGACATGAGAAAAGGCAAGAGGCATAAGTGTCCACGTGGAGGGAAGCACAGACAAGAGGAGGCACTGGGGCTTGGGCGTGCAGCTCCTGTTCAGGTGGTGGCTAGTGACACGGGCCATGCTCTAGAACGGGATGGTCCCTAACACTCAACACGAAATCCTGTCCCTGGCTCACTGCTTGCAGAAAAGGAGACCTGGGCTCCAAGAGGCTGCTGGCAGCTGACAGATGAGGCAGGAGGCAGAGGGAGGATGAATCCCAGTGGGAGAGCCTGAATCAGGCAACACCCAAGAGGCTTTGCCCTCTGCCCAGAAGGAAGTGGGATTACTTGCCGTAGGATGGAGTGGGGAGAGGATATGAGCTACACAACCAGAATCGGTGAGCAGCCCTCTGGGTGTTCGACAGGTCAAATGTAGAGAATTGTTAGCCTTTTACTATCAGTCAAGACTCTACCATCCATCAT